ACTTCTCTCTCTCACTACTGGGGGCCTTTTAGGCTGGAGTGTTCTCTGTCAGAAGGAAGGGAGCTACGTTGTGTATTAGTAGAAGTTAACACCATTTCAGTTTGAAGAATAACTCAGTCACTAAAGTGTGTGCTATGATAATCAAAGCTTGATCCCCTAAGGGAAAATATATATGTATATATAAATATATGTATGTATGTATGTATGTGTTGGAGTGGTAATATACTCTTATAGTCTCAGACTTCAAGATGCTGAGAAGGGAAAGTTCCTGGGGGTTGGCCAGCCTAGCCAAACCAGTGGTTTTCAGGTAAAAGTGATGGAGAGATTGTCTCAAAAAAAAAAAGAAGAAGAAGAAGAAGAAGAAGAAGAAGAAGAAGAAGAAGAAGAAAGAAAAGGCAAGATAAATGGCATCATCAAAGCTGATTCCTGGATCCCATACATATTCACACATACATGCACACAAACATGCACATACATTTTTCACACACAGAAGCTGCAGCATCTATGATCTCTACCCATTAGAATCAGTGACATCCTCCTCCAAGCTTCCCTCATCAAAAGTATCTCCAACCATTACCATGGGGCAGAGCTATGATATTAGAGAACCATGGCTCTGCACTGGAGCCTCCTCTCAGCCTTTCCTAGATCTCCCAGATAAATCCCAGCACGACCAAGCTGTTGGCAAGCATCTTAATCTACCACCAGAAACCAGCCAACACTCTTTACAGACACAGAACAAAACCAAGCATCCAAACAATGCAAAAGTCACAATAGCTCAATTCCTACTGAAAACCTGCCTGGTGTGTAAAGAAGAAAGGAAACATAACTCATAACCAGGAGGCAAATCGATCAGTAGAAATAGATGGGCAAGGAGCAGAAAGAATGGTGAATGCCACCGACAACAGCCTTTAAGCCCCGTTAGTGTTTGCCTCGTGTACTTGGGAAGGTAGAGAGAATTGAGAACCAGAGAGAAATGGGAGAGATAAGGAGCCTCCTAGGAATTGTTTTAGTTTGTTTGCGATTTGGTGTTGATGGTCTGATATTGCACTCAGCCCATTGAGACACAGTGGTCTTAGCTGAGTCACACATACAGAGGGACTTTCAAATTTCACCATGATTCTTTCAGGTAGCCAGAACCAAGTGTTGCCGGCAAAAGTCTCGCTAAATAGTAATGATGCTGCTGCTGATGATAACAAATAATAATATAAGTGGAAAATAGAGAAGCAGATGGTCAAAGAGGCTTGGGTAATTAGTGTTTTCCACATATATCACCTTCCCCTAGCTCATTTCCTAGAGAAGGTGGAAAACTGTCACCTGTCAGAAGTCAGATAGGCAAGCCTCGACCTACAAGCTCCAGCATGTTATCGTGTCTTATTTGAGACCACCAGGGCTAGCTCTGGAGTGTGCATGCCTAACCCCGTTTTAGACGAAAGCATGTTTGTCTCAAAGAATCTTCTGAGGTCCTCTGTCTGGGGATGAGTCACCCACCCCCAATTCTGTGCCAGGGAGCACAAAACGGCCCATGAGCAAAATGTTGTGCCCTTGAGAACAGGGAGAAGGTGAACCATTTTCAACAGGGTTACTACTGCTTAGCTTGTGATACAAAAGTGTCTACTGTGGGAAGGAGAAGCTGGGTATCCGACCACGAAGAGAATGGAATGCCCAAGGGAGGACTACCGCTGACTGCCTCAACCTCCCTGCTCAGTTTCTGTTGGCTCTTGTGAGCACCCTGTTCCATAGCATTATCTGCTCCTATTGGTTTTGACGTGGAAGCCTCACCTGAAGGTCCCCCTGCTCTGCTTGGGACCCACTCTGCTGGGAACTCGGGCAGCTTTATCGGGGCTTCCCTAGTTAGTTTTCTGCTGAATGCTTGTAAACTTTGGTTTGGTGATGCCACCTTTCTGTGCGATTTGTTCTTGTCCTTGGTGCCATCATTGGATGGGTCCCCCTGCTTTGCGCAGCACAGTCTCTACCTGGAACACCAGCTGATTGCTTTAAAGGGTCTTCCCCATTCCGGCAGGATGTTCCGAAAGCCCAGTTTGGTGATTTTTGCCACCTATGTATCTATCTGCTAATCGTTATATACTCGTTTACTTTGGCTTGTTCTATACTTAATAACTCATTCAAAACCAAAGTGTGGCTACTGAAGCTCATTCTTGTACCTGTGGAAGAGAGATGCAAATCCGTCATACCACTCTATGGCTTCCCTTCCCATGGTTGGTGAAGCCATCCGGGCCTTATTCATAGGGCATCTCAGGAACGCACGCTCACAGTGTGAATAGCAAACATTGTTTTCAGACGGGACCATCCACGTCCAGATATGGTGTGGTAAATTTCTTAACCACACAGAACACTTACTCAAAGAAGAATTTCCTTAACACATAGTGTTCCTGTTAGTTTAAGACACATTTGGGGTCAAGAGGAATCCAGGCTTTGCAAACATCAGGCCCCGGGATCTACAGCATTCTCACCCTTAACCTCTTCCTGACCTGGCAAGCTCTCACTCAGCACAGGTTCTTCTCATGGCTCCAGCTGAAGGCAGTTTAAGGAAGGGACCAGATACAGCTGGACCCTACCTGGGCTGGAGTTTCCCAATCATTGTCGTCCCACGTGCACAATGATTTCTCTAGGCATTAACGCAGCTCAGGACTACCACTGCGGTTTGAGAGAACTCCCCATCCTCAGGTCAGCAGACTTGCAGCTCCTCCCAGGAACTTGACATTAGTAGGTTTTTCACAGACAAGTCTCCCAAACACACTCTCATTGAAAAATGAACCCATTTCTTTAATCTAGTATCCCTGTGGATTGAGAGTTCATCCCAGTGACCTTGCTCATTTTCTATCCTATCAGTCACTTCATGGCCAAAGCCCAGGTTAACAGGAAGCCTCTGAGCTGCTGTAGGGGGAGAAGTCACTGGGCCGAGTCCAATGGCAGGCTGGGCTGTTAATTGGTCTCCTGGATATGTTCAGCTTAGGAAATGGAGCCCCAAGGTTTGTTTCTCCCTACCCCTTCTATCTAAACAGTACTGACATGCCCCAGCGAGGATAACTGTAATCGCTCCATGGCTTTGGATTATTTTAAAATCTGAAATGTTTACTATTGAACTTTGGAGGTGAAAAATGTCAACCTGAGCTAAACACAGGACCCCCTAAAAGGTATCTGTATTCCGCAAACAGTAGCAGCCAGAAGCAGCTATCACTTCAGAAAGTAAACATACGAAATCTGATAAGAAAAAAGATCATAACAGAAATAAACTGACGGCAGACAAATGTGATGTGTTTGCCAGACCAAAGAAGATTCCTGGCTTGTCAACCTCCTGTGCACACCTTCCCCCCCACCCCCACTCCATCTGTGTCTCCCGACTCTAAACCTAAACCCTGCTTAAAGTTCAAGTCAGGAGGCCTGGGTCCTATTCATTGTTTTCAAACTTGGCCTGCTCTTGCACCCAGGAAGCAGGCCCTGTATGTACCATGTCTCATGGATAGATAGACTCAGTAAAAACTAGCCAAGTGCTTGAACTGCTAGCTGGGGAGTGGCCTCAGGTTCACTTAGCACACATGGCTAGGATGTTGGCTCCTAATGGTAGCAAACAGTTCAGCCACAGGAACATGCAGTTGTGGCAATCAATGTATTTGAAGTTTTCCCCGCAATCTCTGGCGGCACATCCTTCACATTCCTTTCGGCGTGGCTACAATAATGAAGAAATGAATGGGGAAGTCTTACTTATGAAAACTGGAAGGCAAGAGAGGGTATTCACTAGGAAAGGTCTAAAACAGAGCCACGAGGGCTACTGTAAAATGCATGATGAGACAATTCAACAAGTTCTCCCCTCTCTTGGGGACTGGAAAATAGTCGCAATGGAAATTATACAGTGATAAAATTCTGTCCCCATCCGATTAATTACTTGTGAATAATAACATCTCTGGTTTCTTTCAATTATATCCTAATTGCACACCTTTTGCTCTGGCTGATTGGGCAATGAATTAATGAATAAGGACTACTACTGAATTTAATTAACACCATTTTTTCTCTATGCCCTTTACATATCTGTTGTGAACATGGAAATTCACTCTCTCAGGGCTAGAACTGGAAGAAAGTAAACCTTGAACCCTGCAAAACCTGTTCCTCCCAGTCAGGCTGGCTTCCTTACTGCCAAGTGTGGGTGATCAAAGGTCTCAAGTATTTGCCAGAACTCAGAGGAGAGCTTTCCCAATAACAACATCAATATTCCAACACTCACCTTTTCATAAAGCATTAGCACTGTACATGTTACAGTCATCCAAAGAGATGGGTAAGTGAGCTATCTGGGAGTCAATTACAGTGCCATTCATAATTTATTCCATGTACAATGGAAAACTGATCATATTTCACATGTGTTTACTTTCTGAAAAGATAAGCGCTTATGGCTGGTACCCTGGGTAGAATACAAATATCTTTCATGGTGATGTGTTTATGTCAGGTTGACATTTTCAATTGCCAAAGGCCTCCCTGTTTTCCAAAACTAGTCTGGGCTTGAAAACTAAAGCTCATGCTTACAAAAAGTAAAAAGACCAATCTGGAATTTTGCTATCTCAATTCAAGCAAGACAGTCATGAATACGCTCCCTCTAAACACGCAGGCAGACAAATAGGCATTTCTTCCTAGAGACAGGTAAGTACAGACTCGCAAGGCCAATAGCACTGGAATCACAGGGTGCACTGCAGTTCCCAGGTGTGGATACCAGCAACCCACCTCGGAAATCTTTGGACAGATTTTTGTGGTCAGTTGTCTATCAGTCCCATTTAGCTAACGTTATCCCCTCCAACATACTGAAAAAAAAACTGAAATAAATTAAAGGAAGGATTTTACAGAGTATTTTCCAAGATACAAACAAATCAATGTTTTTGCAAGACTAGAAAAGACACGTGGCCAGTGGGTCTCCCACATAGACCTCCATCGGTATCTCCGAGCTCCGTGTGCACCGGCCCCCCCACCCCACCACTGCCGAGCCCCGGCTGTACCTCGTATCTGCTGACTTGCCGCTCAGCCACCTTCAGGCCTTGGCACGTGTGGATGAAACAAACTTTAGCTCGTCTCTGGGAAGGAAGCCAGTCCCTCTTTACCAGGTCCATGACCATCACATGGTTTTTCAGGCTTGTACTAAAGGCAGTTATCTGAAAGGTGGGGTGCACAATCTTCCCCTCCTCGGGAGGTTTCACAGGCATTCCGGAGCCCTGTGTGATACTGGGAATCTTGTGACTTCAGCCAGCCAGCCCGGCAAACACAATTTTCTTTGTTTGATGCAGGTATTGAGTGCAGCAGGAGGGGTTTGGGACCAGCTCCAGTGCAGGCCTGTGTTTTCCAACTTCACAGACAGTTGCTCCAAAATCCTTGCTACAGGGGGGCACACGATATAGTTGTGGAAACCCCCTGGGTGACCTTTAAATGCCACGAGAAAACTTCCTCTGCTGCAGCCTGGCCAACTCCAGCCTCCCGCCTGGGCTCTGAGGTCTTGCTGTCTTCTCTGATTTCAAAGAGGCACGTTTCATTCTTGCTTGTTTTCTGCTTGCCTTTAAGTTCCAGACGCTGAATTCACCTGGTTACCAAGAGGTTCGATATGTGTTTCCGTCTCTAGACCCTCAAATCCAAATAAATTATTTACAGAGTTCTGTACAAAGGAACCAAGAGGGATAATTGCCGCTCTTTTAAAGTGTCTGCTTTTGCTTGCCAGGGGCCTGAAAGGAACAAGTACAGACTGCCTACTGGCACAAAGAGTGGCCTCAGCCCTGCAAAAGATAAGAGCGCATTCAGGGAAAAAGAGACTCGCAGAAATGACAGCTGAAGACGGGCGTGGGGAGACACCATGCTGGGAAGGACAGTGGCTCAGGTAGGGGGCTGCCATCCAGAGTCAACCATGGAAGCCTTCTCACACCTGGAGCCTCAGTTTCCCCCCAGGAAGAGCACTAAGATAGAGCTGCCCTCCCTACCTGCTCCCGCCCAGGTTATGAGGATCAGGTGAGTCATGAGTCACACAATGAGGAAAGACCTGCGCGTGCCTGCGCTGGTGAATGTGCCCAAACTGTGGCACACATCACTCTTAAGAGCCGTTACAGCTTCTGCTCAAATTACTGTGCACAGTTCCCTCTCCAGAGCAGAACCTAATAACGCCATGCTTATGAAGGTTTACTTTATGCAAAAAGTTATTTGATTCTGAATGTCAGGCTGCTTAGAATACAGACCCAAGGAGGGCTCCTCCCTATTTTCATTTCCTGTGTTGCTGCCATTTCAATTCATCTGGTCTTGGGAGCCATTAATCAAGGGCACGCACAAGACAAAGCCGATGGCAAGACGCAGAACCCTGCTTGCCGGGAGGGACTTCTGTCTGGTTTTCTACAAGGATGACCTTGGGAAAACTTTTTAACTCGGCCACAATGAAAGCCAGGGAAGGCTGAAGGAAAGCCTTGGTGATGTTCCCAGAAGCAGAGCTCAATGTCAGGTGACACCTCGCTCCTTCCTGCTGTGTACAGGGTCTCTGCAAGTCACAGTGACTGGCTAGGACCCGGATGATGGGGTTTTAGCCTCCTGTTACCGGGGGCAAGGGTTGAATGTTGAAGCTGAGAATTGAAGCCCAGGAGGTGATGGGAAAGACTGGCGGCCATTTCTGTCAGTGTTTGCAGCAGACTAAACACCAGTCCAAGGTCACTAAAATGGTGTCTACTATGATCAGCTGGGACTCTAGCTTTCCTGAAGACATAAGAGTGTAACACCCAGCTGGTGGCAGACTTTATTTACACTGAAAACTCTCCAGAGAGGTATAGAATGCCATGCTGGATTTTAGAAACACTGGGATAAAGGCAGCCAGGGAAAAATTTTTTTGATAATAAAGTAATTAAAATTTATCAAAGACCTCAACAAAGGAAGGAGTCTGCATCCCTGGTTTGGGCTCTGAAGACCTAACTTGGCATCTCCTCAATGTTGCTTCTGGTACCTGTGAGTTCCTGTCCAGCAGGTCCTGCAGGTGTGAGGACACTCATGACTTTTCTTCTTTTTTTTTTCTTTTTTTTAAATTTATTTATTTATTAAAGATTTCTGTCTCTTCCCCGCCACTGCCTCCCATTTGATGCCACTACACACTGAAGGACCCTAAACCATGTAGAAGCTACCAGAGCTTCCTGTCCAGAAGTTTCAAAACCAGCCTGGGGAAGTTTACCTAGGGTTGCCTGGGTTGTTATGGAAACCAGCTCTCTCAGGCAGCACCAGAGATCACGAGCTTACCTGACCAGTGAGTGTGACTCCTCCCTCTCCACTGAGTGCAGCAGTGGCTGGTCACAGGACACAGCTGTAGCGTAGCCAAAAAAAGGTCTCAAGATTTTCGGACAGGAGGGCTGAACAGGAGTCTTGAGATGTCAGATTCAACTTCTCAGTGTATGGAGTCAGGATGGAAGGCCGGAAGCAGGGAAGGTGGAGGAGAACTCGTCAGGGGCTGAAGCAACCACGCAACCACGGATGGAGAGTTGGGGGATGAGTGTGTGGGTGGCTAACAAGAATGTGGATTTGGACGAAGCTCCTGTGCTCCGGCACCAGCTCCCTTTGTCAGCGCACCTCCCACCCCCCACCCCCAGCCCTGCTGCTGTTCTGACAGCCTCAGACTTTAAGAGCCTATCAGTGCAGACTTTTGCAGACATAGATCACAGAGAGCAGCTCCACCCACCTGAGGCAGGGTCTCTCTAAGGAGAGCCTCCTCTTGACTCTGCTGGGATTACAAATGAGCACCACCACACCTGGCTTTGCAGGGGTTCTTGAAATTTGAACTCGGGTCCTCACACTTGTATGCCAAGTACTTTACCCACTGAGTGTCATCTCCCCAGCCCCTCCTCTTTTTTTCCTTAAAGTGAACATCTGTTCACTATGAAAGTTAGACCTCTGTTTGGCTAATGTCCTGAAGAAGATCCAACTGAATCTCCCTAAATTGGCCCCTAACGTGACTGACTGAAACTGTCATTGGTGACCATTACTGTTCCATGACACCCAGTTACAGTTGTGAGCCTCAAATATGTTTACAGTTAAGACAGATGGGGAACGAGGCTCTTATTCTCTTCGTACCCTGGCTGTGATATACAGGGTTGCAGGGAACATGCATAGAGGTATTTAAATAATGAATTATTCAAAAAGAAAAGGGAACTGTGGGTACCTGGTGCCAGAAATTTCTACTCGTGAATTCTTAATCTGTTCTCTGGAGGGATTACCGTTTACGACTATGAAAGACATCCTAATTACGCAGCAACGGCGTTGATTTCCTGCAAGGCTTGTGAGGATCTAAAAGGCATTAGGCAACAATAAAAACAGATGACTATGGAGTTCTGAGTGCATAACCAAGTCTGCCTTTTGGAGGAGAGTGACGCTTTATCTACGAGTGCTTCACTCATGAGGTGGGAACTGAAGTTTTCCTCCTGGCCCAAGGAGGGAAGGATGCGACAAGAGTATCCTTTAACAAAACAGATGTGTGAGAGCCACACAGGAGCACCGCAAGCCCACATACCCTCCTTTCAGTTCCTGCTTGATGGCTGCTAGAACAAATGAGAAGGATTGAGAGTTCTGTGTCCAAAGCAAAAAACAAAACAAGCAATAACAACAACTAAAAACCCTGGGCTTTGTAACATAAGAGGAAGGAAATATGAATTTATTTGATACTCCAATTGTTGCTACATACTTGGGCTGTGTTGAATAAGGCCTCAATGCGGTGGAAAAGAGACTGGCTTCTGAGCATGCCTGGGGGGGTTGTCTTGATTGTGTTCATTGAGATGGATGGAAATACCTGTCCACTCTGGGTGGTACCATTCCCTAGCTGGGATTCTAGACAGCACACGTGGAGAAAGGGGAGCTGAGCAACAGCATGCACTGATCTGAGCTTCCCCAGGGTAAATTCGATGTGACCCAGCTGCTTCAAGACCCTGACGTTCAACTCCCCACCATGATGTACTCTTGAGATATGACTCAGAATAAACCCTTTTATCGGCATGTTTCATCACAGAAATGGGGGGGGGGGGATGAAGGCATTTGTTCAGTAGATGAAGGAAATACATGTCATATAGGTATTTCCTCCTAATTGAAACACTCCCTTGTGGGATATTCCTGGAGTTCCTCAAGACTTCACAAGCTCAAAATCTCACAAGCCTCACAGGCTGGACCTTACAGTTATATAACCAGTAAGCAGTTGTTGGTAAAGGAGAGGAGACTTTAGGGTGGAGCTGCCTATGAGAAGTGCAGGGAGCTCCAGGGATGCAGTCACCAGCCACACAGGTGGGCTTCCCATGATGCAGCTGCCTTTGAGTGGCTCACATTCCTATAAGTTAACTCCTCATACCTGCTGCCTAAGTAACCCAAATAAACTCGCTTGTTCCAAGCTAGATTTGGGTGGAGTCACTTTTTCTGTCCTTCTTCTGTCATCACATGGGGTAAATAAACATCTGTTTATGTCTTCCCAGGAAATGTCAGCGACAAAAGGAGTTGATGGCTTCATAAGCCACTTTCTCTATTGTGAACAGAAACTTTTCCCTACTTCTTTTGGAAATCATGATAATTGGAGGTTTGGGAAGTGGCAAACAGAGGGATTGGGGGCGGGGACTGCAAGGGAATACAAACAATATCAGCACATTTGTCTACAACATTCACTTGCCCCCACTTCTACAAACAGTTGAGAATCATTTATTTAGCACCCACTGGGTGTTCAATGCTGTGCCAACTGCTCTGATTAAATATTCAAAGCCACTTCTAGTGTTGCTGAAAACCAGAGCAACCCGCAGTTAGGGGGAAATCCTATCTCTCTCCTTCAGATCCATGGGAAGGAGAGAGTTATCTCCAGACAGTGCGCGGTGTTTTCCTACTTTCCCTCCAACATCTCTAATGGAACTTGAGAAAGGAAAGTCATGATTTTAGAAATTGCATTTGATTTTATAGAGTAGATCTGGACAAGCAGGAGGGAGGAGGGCTGCAAATGACATTTCCCAGAAATATTAAACCCAATTTCCTTCTTACATCCTAGAGCAATTTAACTCAACAAGAAAACTTGGTTGGCTTGCCCCCCTTCCTCTCCATGGAGGACTGCTGTGCCTTCTTCCGCCAACGCATTCAAGAAAGCTCTTTGGTGACAAGCCTGGCAAATAGGAGCAAAGGACAGAGACCTATTACTGTGGCCCTGAGTGTGGACAACCCACTTGTTGCAATTAACTCCAAACAAACACATCCACCATCTCTCTCAGCCATGTGTTCTTACGCAGGCAAATTAATTTTTTAATGAGCTGATACAAACAGATTTCTGAAATGCAATATTTACCAGCAAAATACCCAGAGGCAATAT